CGAGCACATCAAAATGTGGATACGCTTCACGAATTTGCGTGTCATCCTTTCGCAGGGGCCATGCTAATCTTCTCTGTATCGAATCCAATTTATTAGATGTGCTGCCTGAGCAGGCACAGAAGTCCTAGATGGCTGCCTACCTTTTATACACCCTTCTGGCCCAATGCCCCCTTTGCAGCAGTGCAGGCTGGGGGACTGCAGTCCCTAGTAGGAAACGCCCTGAATGGGGGCGGTGCCCAACTTCCCCCTCAGGCTGGGGGCTAAACTTGGGGGCCCAAGGCCAACCATCCCCCTGCCATGACACATGCTGGGACAACTGGGAGCCTCTCTGAAAAACTCTGGCCACATCTCTGTGCAATCAGCTCAAGGATAAGCAAGACTGCGTAAAGTTGTTCACGCCAAATACATTACGCCGAGCACTCGGGACACGTCCCCCATTTGCTGCCGTCTAAATCTGGTAGCCAGTTTCAAAGCAGGCCAGAGTCTGACTTGTGTAACTGACTTGGGTCAAGGTGTACTTTGGAATGACGCTGAGCCGACAACTGCCTGGGCTAAATTCCGGACAAGGTGTTGCCTGCTTGACGCCGGCACTCGCCATGTCAGGACTGCGGTTGTGAAAGGCGGCAAGGAGCCCCCGCATTCCCGGCCACCCTTGAAGGACAGAAAATCCCCTCTCTGGCACTAAGCTGCACCAGAAGAGGTCGCGGGCAAAACGAGCACATCAAAATGTGGATACGCTTCACGAATTTGCGTGTCATCCTTTCGCAGGGGCCATGCTAATCTTCTCTGTATCGAATCCAATTTATTAGATGTGCTGCCTGAGCAGGCACAGAAGTCCTAGATGGCTGCCTACCTTTTATACACCCTTCTGGCCCAATGCCCCCTTTGCAGCAGTGCAGGCTGGGGGACTGCAGTCCCTAGTAGGAAACGCCCTGAATGGGGGCGGTGCCCAACTTCCCCCTCAGGCTGGGGGCTAAACTTGGGGGCCCAAGGCCAACCATCCCCCTGCCATGACACATGCTGGGACAACTGGGAGCCTCTCTGAAAAACTCTGGCCACATCTCTGTGCAATCAGCTCAAGGATAAGCAAGACTGCGTAAAGTTGTTCACGCCAAATACATTACGCCGAGCACTCGGGACACGTCCCCCATTTGCTGCCGTCTAAATCTGGTAGCCAGTTTCAAAGCAGGCCAGAGTCTGACTTGTGTAACTGACTTGGGTCAAGGTGTACTTTGGAATGACGCTGAGCCGACAACTGCCTGGGCTAAATTCCGGACAAGGTGTTGCCTGCTTGACGCCGGCACTCGCCATGTCAGGACTGCGGTTGTGAAAGGCGGCAAGGAGCCCCCGCATTCCCGGCCACCCTTGAAGGACAGAAAATCCCCTCTCTGGCACTAAGCTGCACCAGAAGAGGTCGCGGGCAAAACGAGCACATCAAAATGTGGATACGCTTCACGAATTTGCGTGTCATCCTTTCGCAGGGGCCATGCTAATCTTCTCTGTATCGAATCCAATTTATTAGATGTGCTGCCTGAGCAGGCACAGAAGTCCTAGATGGCTGCCTACCTTTTATACACCCTTCTGGCCCAATGCCCCCTTTGCAGCAGTGCAGGCTGGGGGACTGCAGTCCCTAGTAGGAAACGCCCTGAATGGGGGCGGTGCCCAACTTCCCCCTCAGGCTGGGGGCTAAACTTGGGGGCCCAAGGCCAACCATCCCCCTGCCATGACACATGCTGGGACAACTGGGAGCCTCTCTGAAAAACTCTGGCCACATCTCTGTGCAATCAGCTCAAGGATAAGCAAGACTGCGTAAAGTTGTTCACGCCAAATACATTACGCCGAGCACTCGGGACACGTCCCCCATTTGCTGCCGTCTAAATCTGGTAGCCAGTTTCAAAGCAGGCCAGAGTCTGACTTGTGTAACTGACTTGGGTCAAGGTGTACTTTGGAATGACGCTGAGCCGACAACTGCCTGGGCTAAATTCCGGACAAGGTGTTGCCTGCTTGACGCCGGCACTCGCCATGTCAGGACTGCGGTTGTGAAAGGCGGCAAGGAGCCCCCGCATTCCCGGCCACCCTTGAAGGACAGAAAATCCCCTCTCTGGCACTAAGCTGCACCAGAAGAGGTCGCGGGCAAAACGAGCACATCAAAATGTGGATACGCTTCACGAATTTGCGTGTCATCCTTTCGCAGGGGCCATGCTAATCTTCTCTGTATCGAATCCAATTTATTAGATGTGCTGCCTGAGCAGGCACAGAAGTCCTAGATGGCTGCCTACCTTTTATACCCCTTCTGGCCCAATGCCCCCTTTGCAGCAGTGCAGGCTGGGGGACTGCAGTCCCTAGTAGGAAACGCCCTGAATGGGGGCGGTGCCCAACTTCCCCCTCAGGCTGGGGGCTAAACTTGGGGGCCCAAGGCCAACCATCCCCCTGCCATGACACATGCTGGGACAACTGGGAGCCTCTCTGAAAAACTCTGGCCACATCTCTGTGCAATCAGCTCAAGGATAAGCAAGACTGCGTAAAGTTGTTCACGCCAAATACATTACGCCGAGCACTCGGGACACGTCCCCCATTTGCTGCCGTCTAAATCTGGTAGCCAGTTTCAAAGCAGGCCAGAGTCTGACTTGTGTAACTGACTTGGGTCAAGGTGTACTTTGGAATGACGCTGAGCCGACAACTGCCTGGGCTAAATTCCGGACAAGGTGTTGCCTGCTTGACGCCGGCACTCGCCATGTCAGGACTGCGGTTGTGAAAGGCGGCAAGGAGCCCCCGCATTCCCGGCCACCCTTGAAGGACAGAAAATCCCCTCTCTGGCACTAAGCTGCACCAGAAGAGGTCGCGGGCAAAACGAGCACATCAAAATGTGGATACGCTTCACGAATTTGCGTGTCATCCTTTCGCAGGGGCCATGCTAATCTTCTCTGTATCGAATCCAATTTATTAGATGTGCTGCCTGAGCAGGCACAGAAGTCCTAGATGGCTGCCTACCTTTTATACACCCTTCTGGCCCAATGCCCCCTTTGCAGCAGTGCAGGCTGGGGGACTGCAGTCCCTAGTAGGAAACGCCCTGAATGGGGGCGGTGCCCAACTTCCCCCTCAGGCTGGGGGCTAAACTTGGGGGCCCAAGGCCAACCATCCCCCTGCCATGACACATGCTGGGACAACTGGGAGCCTCTCTGAAAAACTCTGGCCACATCTCTGTGCAATCAGCTCAAGGATAAGCAAGACTGCGTAAAGTTGTTCACGCCAAATACATTACGCCGAGCACTCGGGACACGTCCCCCATTTGCTGCCGTCTAAATCTGGTAGCCAGTTTCAAAGCAGGCCAGAGTCTGACTTGTGTAACTGACTTGGGTCAAGGTGTACTTTGGAATGACGCTGAGCCGACAACTGCCTGGGCTAAATTCCGGACAAGGTGTTGCCTGCTTGACGCCGGCACTCGCCATGTCAGGACTGCGGTTGTGAAAGGCGGCAAGGAGCCCCCGCATTCCCGGCCACCCTTGAAGGACAGAAAATCCCCTCTCTGGCACTAAGCTGCACCAGAAGAGGTCGCGGACAAAACGAGCACATCAAAATGTGGATACGCTTCACGAATTTGCGTGTCATCCTTTCGCAGGGGCCATGCTAATCTTCTCTGTATCGAATCCAATTTATTAGATGTGCTGCCTGAGCAGGCACAGAAGTCCTAGATGGCTGCCTACCTTTTATACACCCTTCTGGCCCAATGCCCCCTTTGCAGCAGTGCAGGCTGGGGGACTGCAGTCCCTAGTAGGAAACGCCCTGAATGGGGGCGGTGCCCAACTTCCCCCTCAGGCTGGGGGCTAAACTTGGGGGCCCAAGGCCAACCATCCCCCTGCCATGACACATGCTGGGACAACTGGGAGCCTCTCTGAAAAACTCTGGCCACATCTCTGTGCAATCAGCTCAAGGATAAGCAAGACTGCGTAAAGTTGTTCACGCCAAATACATTACGCCGAGCACTCGGGACACGTCCCCCATTTGCTGCCGTCTAAATCTGGTAGCCAGTTTCAAAGCAGGCCAGAGTCTGACTTGTGTAACTGACTTGGGTCAAGGTGTACTTTGGAATGACGCTGAGCCGACAACTGCCTGGGCTAAATTCCGGACAAGGTGTTGCCTGCTTGACGCCGGCACTCGCCATGTCAGGACTGCGGTTGTGAAAGGCGGCAAGGAGCCCCCGCATTCCCGGCCACCCTTGAAGGACAGAAAATCCCCTCTCTGGCACTAAGCTGCACCAGAAGAGGTCGCGGACAAAACGAGCACATCAAAATGTGGATACGCTTCACGAATTTGCGTGTCATCCTTTCGCAGGGGCCATGCTAATCTTCTCTGTATCGAATCCAATTTATTAGATGTGCTGCCTGAGCAGGCACAGAAGTCCTAGATGGCTGCCTACCTTTTATACACCCTTCTGGCCCAATGCCCCCTTTGCAGCAGTGCAGGCTGGGGGACTGCAGTCCCTAGTAGGAAACGCCCTGAATGGGGGCGGTGCCCAACTTCCCCCTCAGGCTGGGGGCTAAACTTGGGGGCCCAAGGCCAACCATCCCCCTGCCATGACACATGCTGGGACAACTGGGAGCCTCTCTGAAAAACTCTGGCCACATCTCTGTGCAATCAGCTCAAGGATAAGCAAGACTGCGTAAAGTTGTTCACGCCAAATACATTACGCCGAGCACTCGGGACACGTCCCCCATTTGCTGCCGTCTAAATCTGGTAGCCAGTTTCAAAGCAGGCCAGAGTCTGACTTGTGTAACTGACTTGGGTCAAGGTGTACTTTGGAATGACGCTGAGCCGACAACTGCCTGGGCTAAATTCCGGACAAGGTGTTGCCTGCTTGACGCCGGCACTCGCCATGTCAGGACTGCGGTTGTGAAAGGCGGCAAGGAGCCCCCGCATTCCCGGCCACCCTTGAAGGACAGAAAATCCCCTCTCTGGCACTAAGCTGCACCAGAAGAGGTCGCGGGCAAAACGAGCACATCAAAATGTGGATACGCTTCACGAATTTGCGTGTCATCCTTTCGCAGGGGCCATGCTAATCTTCTCTGTATCGAATCCAATTTATTAGATGTGCTGCCTGAGCAGGCACAGAAGTCCTAGATGGCTGCCTACCTTTTATACACCCTTCTGGCCCAATGCCCCCTTTGCAGCAGTGCAGGCTGGGGGACTGCAGTCCCTAGTAGGAAACGCCCTGAATGGGGGCGGTGCCCAACTTCCCCCTCAGGCTGGGGGCTAAACTTGGGGGCCCAAGGCCAACCATCCCCCTGCCATGACACATGCTGGGACAACTGGGAGCCTCTCTGAAAAACTCTGGCCACATCTCTGTGCAATCAGCTCAAGGATAAGCAAGACTGCGTAAAGTTGTTCACGCCAAATACATTACGCCGAGCACTCGGGACACGTCCCCCATTTGCTGCCGTCTAAATCTGGTAGCCAGTTTCAAAGCAGGCCAGAGTCTGACTTGTGTAACTGACTTGGGTCAAGGTGTACTTTGGAATGACGCTGAGCCGACAACTGCCTGGGCTAAATTCCGGACAAGGTGTTGCCTGCTTGACGCCGGCACTCGCCATGTCAGGACTGCGGTTGTGAAAGGCGGCAAGGAGCCCCCGCATTCCCGGCCACCCTTGAAGGACAGAAAATCCCCTCTCTGGCACTAAGCTGCACCAGAAGAGGTCGCGGGCAAAACGAGCACATCAAAATGTGGATACGCTTCACGAATTTGCGTGTCATCCTTTCGCAGGGGCCATGCTAATCTTCTCTGTATCGCTAAGATCAAAGGATGAGTACGAGATAAGAGTTCAGAATTTCAGCTCTTATTTCGTGGTAATCACATCTAGATGTCCCCACCATGTCTGAGGACATACCACCCTTTGTTTGAACCCACCCATTGTTCAAGTGAGCAAAACTATTGGAACATGTGACTGACAGATTTCTCTTGTTGCCCAGGTGTTGCCTTTTAGGTTGATTATCCAAACATTAAATAGCTCTGCATGACTAGACTAAGTTTTCATCCTTGGTTCAAACCTATAAAGACTGCATTTGCTGTTAAAGAGGATAAACCAACATGAAGACCAGAGAGCTGTCTATGGGAGAAAAGCAAGCCATTGTCAAGCTGAGGAAAAAAGGAAAATCCACCAGAGCCATTGGACAAATATTGGGCATACCAAGTCCAACAATTTGGAATGTCCTGAAAAAGAAAGAAACTACTGGTGTACTGAGCAACAGACGTCGAACAGGTCAGCCAAGGAAAACAACAGTAGTTGTTGACAGAAATATCTTGACAGCTGTGAAGAAAACCCCCAAAACATCAGTAAGTTACATCACCAATGACCTCCACAGTGCAGGGGTGAAGGTATCACAATCCACTGTCTGAAGTAGACTCCGAGAATTTGCAGTACAGAGATGAGCCGCCAAATTCTGTAACACAATCTTATGGACTGATGAGACCAAGATTAATCTCTACCAAAGTGATGGAAAGGCCAAAGTATGGACAAAGAAAGGAAGTGCTTATGATCTGAAGCATACAAGCTCATCTGTGAAGCATGGTGGAGTTAATGTCATGGTCTGCTGATGGTAGCAGCAGAATGACTTCAGAAGTGTACAGAAACATTTTGTCTTCCAATTAACAGAAAAATGCATTGAAACTAATAGGGAGGAAGTTTATCATGCAGCAGGACAATGACCCAAAGCACACTGCCAACAAAACAACGGACTTCATCAGGGGAAAAAGTGCAAGGTTTAAGACCGGCCAAGTCAATCACCTGATCTTAACCCAATAGAGCATGCATTTCACATCCTTAAGAGGAGATTGAATGGAGCAACACCCCGAAACAAACAAGGAACTGAAAGAAGCTGCGGTCACAAATGAAGAATGCGACAGTTTGGTGATGTCGATGGGTTGCAGGCTTGAGGCAGTTATTGCAAGCATGGGTTATGCCACCAAATATTAAATGTTATTTACTTTAAGATTATTTGTTCCATTACTTTTGCTCACCTAAGAATGCTTTGGTCAAATACAAACGGTGATATGTCCTGAGTTGTGGAACACATCTAGATTGGAATACCAGGAAATAAAAGCTGAAATTCTGAACTCTTGTCTCATACTCATCTTTTGATCATCAAACTTACCTTAAATCTATGCATTTTCCTGTTATTTCTGCCCATTTGATAAACAAAATACATCCACTAACTGGAGGAGTAAAGGTATAAAAGTAAAGTATAATGTTAGTATAATAATATATTGACAGGTTACACTTTCTTTGGATAATCTGCCTACAGATAGTTTATTGCTGTAGTGCCTCAACCTTTTCTTAATGTCCCGCCTACTCCAGGGAATGATTGGTTGGTTCACGAAACCTGACTGACGAGCAGCTATGCACACGGCTGCATGAAAGGCTCCCCACCTCCCTATGGAGATCAGCAGGCAGGAGAGAACGGGAACAGCTGAGCGTCACGTACTGCCCACAAAGCCTGATCTGGAGAGGGCAGAGAAGAGGACCGGTGCCGGAACGCCAAAAAGTAAAATTGACAGTGCCGGTAAATGCCGGGCCACTTCAAGCACAAACGGCTTTTAGATTGTGAGAAATAACAGGAAGTCATTAGCCTGAGCTTCTGCTCTCTCAACAGTTCTTTGATACATGGCTATTGAAACACATTAGGAGAATATTTGAAACACTATTTTTCAATTCTGATCATTTTGGCGCTAGTGATGTTTTTGGCGATCACTAAAACCTCTTTGTGGGGCACCAAAAATTTCTCTATGCAGAAAAAAAACCCTGTTTGGTACAACCAACATCTTAAGTGAAACATGATAGGTAATAAGAGGTCCTAGCTGTCAACTTGCAAAAAAACCCAAGATGAATGTCAGTGTCCAAATGCAGTGCAGGCTGCATTCTTTGACTCAACTACATGGATCCTACAGACATTTGCTAGCAACACATCTGAAGTCATTTCATCAGTCAATTCAAATAATAAGCTAGACATCATTGCTTTTAATCATCAGATGTTGAAGGGCCTCATTTCTAGCGTCTGTTTAATGCCTAATTATGTTTGTTAATTGAGATTCATATTTAATCTGACAGTCCTACTTTGCAACAGAAATGTAGTCAATCTTGCGATATATTGCTATAGCTAATAATTCAATGCTTAAATGCTAACTAACAGGTAAGTAAAGATGGTGTATGACAAAGTACAATCTTAACATGAACATGCACACATGTTATGTGTGCTGTTGTGACTTTCAAAATGTGACATTGTACTGCATGAAGTCATGGGGAAATTACACAACAGCCATTGAATATAGTAATAGTAAAAGGGTATTGGGAGCTCAATCCCAGATGGAGGGCCAGAGTGTGCACATTGAGTACCTGTCCTTTCCTGTTGACTCCAATGATACCAGCAGTAGGTTCATGGGGGGCAGTGACAAAAATGGTCTCTCCGCTGATCCTGTTCATGTAGATACAAGTTCCAGTCTCCAGATCATACAGGTGGATGTAGCCATATTTGGTTATCAGAAAGACTACATCTTGCTTGGAACTGATCTAGATGTACAAAAAGATAATCTGATTTGAACATGTAAATGATATAGAAAAATATCATCCTCAAAATGCCCTTCAGCAAGACTTTGAACCCAAAGCTAATTAAATATTGCCAAGTCCCAGTGTGATGTCACACACTGAGGGGGAGTTCAGAATGGCCTATTTAAATGGGGTACTTTCAACACATCACTAATATTGTCAAACAGTGAGTGAATCAAATTTTAACAGCACTTGAATAACAACTAGTCTAGACAATTGTTCTTTTGGATAATACCCCTTTAAAAAAAAAAACCTAAGGCACTGGTGACATATGCACCTGTAGAGAATTTTGTTTAGAGGAGGAGGGAATCTACTTTAAGGAACAAAGTCAAACAAGAGGTACAGGCTCTACATGTCTCGTCGTAAATAGATTTTGTACCTGCATGGCAACAGGGAAGTCATTCTGGGCTTCTGGAGGAAAGAAAACATCCACAGCTTTCTTTGGAAACGGCTGGTTTCCAGTTGGCGGAGTCCCCACTTCAATGATGTGCAGCTAGAAAAGCAAGAAGACATTGAAGCAAAATAATACAAAGGAAGGTTACAAAAGTCACTGGAAAGTTGCAATCCGTATGCCACCAAATGCAGCTGTCAGCCTCAGACTTTGCAGTGCTAGTAAATCTTACTTTTCCCCCTGCCTGTCCTCGCACAGCAAAGCAGAACAGTGTTGATTCTTCAGTGTTGCCCTCCATCTTGAACTGTGCAAAGCCAGCAGCATGACCCTCAATAGGCTGAGACACCTTCCTGTCCACTGAATACAGCTGCATGGCTCCAACAACACGGTTTTGCTGAAGAGGAGACAAAGTCCACAAGGTATGCCAAAGCTCGAAGTCAGATGTGATTTATAGTCACATTAAGATTTGTTTTTGTTTTATTGTTAAATAAACACCTCTGCTTCCAGCATCATTTAGACTATTGGACTATTGTATGATGAAATCTGCTGTTTCATTATATATACCTACAATATCTTATATAAATATGTTTATATCCCACACACTGAAGAATTATTGTATTAATTAAAACTAATATCACTGTAACTACATATAACTAATTAATAACAATAAATGGTTGATTAGTAATTACTGGCCAAGTATGCTCACACAAAATATTATTTAACTGCTGCACTTCTGTTATCTAGTGCAATAACTTTAATATTAAGTAAATGTCAAAATTATCAGAATTAATCATGTTGGAGCTATTCTTCAACCACATTTTTTTTTCACCTGTGCTGAAATGCCAATGAGCAGCAGCCACTTCTGTTTTGCGTCAGTACGGTAGTTGATGATCTGGCAGCCTGCAAGGCTGGAGTGACGGTCAAAGACTTTGAGTGGCTGGGAGTCGCCCTCCATGCTCCAATGGTAAACTGCATTGTCTGTTACCAGAGCAACAGTGTTGAGGGAGATCCACTTCCAGAAGGTCACATCATCTGTCATCGTGTGAGCCTTCATCTTGCTCTTCATCTCAATGTTGAAGATCTGCAGGGTCTTTGCAGCTGAAAACATTAAGAGCCGAGGTTAACATACAGGGACACAGATGAATGCTGTGACCCCCTAAAGCATTCCAATAATGATAGTAAAATAATAACTGAACAAAATCAGTCTATTGACTAAAGCTACCACACACAACCCACAGCAGACTTTGGGTGTAAACATACCATTTGGATATACAAAACTCCAATTGCTGAAGAAATGTTGGTAGTCATGGTTTGGTTTGAGTAACACCAAAGCACCATACAAAAAGCCAATACCAGTGTCAAAACAAGAGGCAAGACCAACAAAAGGGAAACCACATGGTTGGTGGATCTGCATTCAGTTAGGTCTGATGCAATAAACTATTCAGGCTGAATATACAAACATCAAGTCATCACACAGATTTTTTATTTGCGAAACTCAAACAGTAAACTGTGTCACCCCTAATTCATTTCAATTAGGCCACTATGTTGACAGAGTGAGGGAGGGCAATAAAAGTTAAATGTGGCTAACCTTCCACAACGCAATGCAAAAATATTCAATGTTTAAAAAACAAAAAAGAATCACTCTTCTCGTTGTTTTGGTACAATGATTCAATTCGCCACTGATCAAAACCAGATCACAAACCAACATCGGCAGAAAAACATGGGCTTTATGGCCTGTGTCCAGCTCCACCCCCACCACCTACTAGAGAATTGAAACTTCATGTTGGTATAGCTCTTCAGGGACTCGCATCGAAATCTAATCCTAAAATGAGAAATGTAGGAATCTGGGTTGGGTCTGAATGCAGATTAGCAAAAGAAGACCAAAAAGCACACAAACAGTTGTGATGATGTGAAGGATGCTGGACAGACGCACTCACAACCATTCTGGGGTTTTTTTCCCTCCGGTTCAGTTTCACTTGAGGAATGCCACTCCAATTCTAAGGGTCCATTATTATTTAATGTACAGCACAAATACAGTAAATTATTATTTAAAAAGTATTAAAGTTTTTTCATTTAATTAGCTTCTCTGTTTAAACTGCACTTAAAATAGAAGTTATTCAACACATAGGCAACTGAAGCATAAGTTTTATAAACCACTTAAGACTACTCCTTTGACATAACGTGGAGGTCAGTAGGCCTAGATAGCAGTGTTGTCCAAACACAGCCCAAAACTAAAAATGGAAATAATAGGAAAATAACCACAACAAAGCACCACATTTGGCTTTGATAACTACAGTATGCTGTGGCTGGCCAGTCAAGATTGTCTCTGTAAAAATGTGACATATATAACTTAAATTATTACCTGTAACGGTTACCTGCCACACCAAGGTCAGACTAGCACATGAAAAAAGTAGAAAAACAGACCTTACAAGTATTATCTAAAAATTGGTACAAATGTACTGGCCCCTGCTGGCTGACTTTACATACATATTAAGAATATATTTGGTTATAGCCTCACAGGCCAGTGGTACACAATTCTTACGAGAATAAGGCCTACATGTCCACAAGACAGCCAGTACATAATGGCCAACTATTTAGTTAAGACTGAACTAAATGTCACAGGTTTCTGGATTTTCCCACTGTGTGAATAACCATATCATTTTTTTTTTTGCATGGTTTAGCCCTTTACTACATACATATGTACTATACATTACTACCAACCATTTTCCAAGGCACATAATACTTTGTAATATATGGATTTTCTATTAATAGCAGGGTTAGTCATTGAATTTTTTAATTCATATACATTTTCTTCTGATAAAACTGATTCTAATTCTTTGAAGACAATTTTCTGGCAAAGACGTGTATTCTGTTATGTGGGTGCAGGTTGTGAGTGACAGTTTGAAACTGACAACTAACTAACAACTGTATTATTGAATTTTGGCACAAATGTTGTGTTTTTGTTTTTAATGAAGAGGCAGCCAGATTTATATCTGCATCATTTTCACGCTGCCTGTGTTTGCCTCCAGGTTAGCTTTTTGTGAGTTAACTTTTTTTGTGAGACAAAAAGACATGTGTGCAGGACGTTGATGACTAAATAAATCACCTTACTAAGGCTATTCGCGTAAGTCTCTATGTGCTCATTTTCATACTATACAGAAGTTAATGGAAACAAATGCATTTAAAATCTTAAATACAGTATGTTTCAGAAAATGGTCAGCTATAATATAAAATATATGTACACTGTAGCAAATGGGACAAACACACTCACAGACAAAACAAAGAAAAAAAAAAAGATACAGTCCTTTAAGCTGCCCTCTTAATTTTGCTACGCTTTGCTTGTGTTTTTATGGGTAAATTTAAGCATTCATTAAAATTACTATCAGTACTGTGCAAACATTTCAAGACAGTGCATACAGGATTACACTTTGACAACTCACAATATGTAAAATTCAACTCACCGTCTGCAAACATAAGAAAGCAGTAGGAAATGAAAAAAGAGCAAAAACAAGCAAAATAGACAAAGCTTTCATGACAGCATGACATTTTCCTAGCACTGCTACTATGCCTATTCTTCCTTAAATATCAATGTCTTGTATATTTAAATTTGATGCACTAAATATTATTTACTCAACCTTTTTTGATAAACAGAAATGGGGTGGTCTACATATGAACATTAAATGAAAAGCAGACTGTGACAGCTACATAACTGACTGACAACACAAACAAAATTTACACAAATGACCCAATGAACTAGAAAAGAGCCATAGCAAGGTATGTGACAAGACAAAAGTTTAACTGTTTACTTTTAATATATGTGCTTCCAGAAAACTTGCACACTCCTCTCTAGGCAGCACATAAAGTCATGTTCTAACAGTGCTAGATATGCATTTTAGCTAGAGCTTACCTTTAAGGGCAATAACTTTGCTGGCAGGATTCATGATGGCGCTGTCTGCAGAGATGGGCCTGCGAATGGGATTGTTGGGGTCGGCCATATCAATGATGACGACCTGGGCCTGCTCACCCACTTTCTCTCTTATACAGATGAATTTGTCTGACTCCATGGTTAGAGTGCTGAATCCAATATTGGCTGGATTGATTCCCAGGTTCTGGAGCTGAGATATGAACACATGACCTGTTTTAGCAGCAGTTCATTACTTATTTCTACTGTGGTCCTTTATATAAAGACAGCAGACATGCACAAGTTCAAGCAGTGCCCAAAATTAGCACTTGCCAAATACAAACAACAAGGCAAGTCAAACTTAAAAAAATGTATTCATACAAATTACAGCCAGGGTGATGAGCTTACATTGAATTTTTGGCACATCAGCCTATATAATAATAATTGCCTAAAAGGAAGTAGCCGCTATATGTTGAGATTAAACATTGGCAAGCACAAGTCAACAACACTTTCTCTAGTCTTGTTTTCTGTATGTAAGTGTCCTTGGGTTACCTGAAAGGCAGTTAAAATTGAAATTATCATCATCATCGTCTCTTGGGCATCCAAACACTACAATATTTGTCTTTGAGATTCATGGGGATGCTATGTTGTTATAACTAGTATGTACAGCACTGAGTTGTAGTTGTACAGCGTTATCCTTCATGGGTCCAGTTGTGGACTATGTAACAGAGACCCAGTTGCCAGTTTATTAGGTACACCTAGCTAAAACTAATAATAACATTGCATTATATTGACAGGTGTTATAAAAGAGGGTAGGCTAGATAACAAACACATCTCTGTATAATGCAATATAGTTAATCCCCCCTAGGGGAAATTTAGGTTGACATAGCAGCAAGAGGAATGAAATAACAGATGCAATAAAAGTAGAATCAGTAACTTTCAATGTAGTTGTACAAATAAATATACACTGTATGCACACTATATACAATTGGATATACAATTAACATTTTATGTAGTTTTCAAAATATTACCACACTAATTACACACCATTTAATATCAATATACGATAATTTATTTACAACCATATAATTTACAACCAGATAAATGTTCACAGCACCATAAAGGGCAGGGTGAAAAATGATCAGAAGTTGAATAAAAACACTTCTTAAAAACAGTTTCTACAAAAACTGAACATTATAACCTTTGTGAAATTTATTGCATGACTGTTGTATTAGACTGCATTAGTTTTGGCTAGATGTACTTAATAAACTGGCAAAGTGTATATTGTCCCTTGACAAAAGGTAATGGAAGGTGCATGGTCACAGTATGATAACTGCCTCCCATGCACTTCAAGCTTAAATGTAAGGTTTCAGTGAGAACACTAAGCACATCTAATAATCCCATAATGTCAGAAACTGAGATTAACTTCAGTGACTGTTATCCTGCTAATTTAAAGGTGTTATAGAAAACTATGATCTATGCTAAGTTATGTGAGTGACAGAATGGGTGTACCACCTGGTTTACATCGGACAGTTGGATGAGGAGGTAACATTTCACAGGTAGTAACACCAACAGAATAACCTTAAATCCTTCCTTCAGATGTTAGAAAAAATGGCCTGTCATGAGATCACCTCACTGTAAGATGCGAAATGGCACAGGGTCCAGTCGGTCTCCAGCTGACCACGATTTTACAGCTACTAGCAAGCTTTAGTACATCACCATCAGAGGATACGTGTGATTACATGATGGCTGCAACAAAACTGCCAACGTAGCGGAAAAACTTTGACATTAACCCGGTCAACGGCTGAATGTCTTATATAGCTACGATTAACGTTACATGCCGTGACGCCAGCATCTCTCACGACACACACTGTGACAGTTAGCCAGCTACTGTAACGTCAATAGATATTTTCTAACCTAATAAGTGTAACCATGAATCTGTCAATTACGCATGAACCACCGAAGGTCAGCAAGTGTGTCTTAAGTTAATGTTATTAGTTTCTCGTCCTGGCTGCCAGTGACATCCAACGTCGGCTAATGTTGAGTCGACTAGGCACCAGCATCAGTGCAGTAATGAATGAGCGATGCTAGTCTGGGATGCTAGTTCTTAGCTGCTGGCTAATCGGGGGATGGGAGGTCATTCATTTGCTGCGGGTATTTACGTTTAACGTTACTTTACCTAAATGCTATCAAATGACTGTTTAACGGGGAGATCAACCAGTAATGTGAATGTTGGTGTTTAGCCACATACCTGCAGGTGCTCCTGGAAGCGGATAGGCAGGATTTGAGCCATGGTGGTTTCCTTGAGCTCCTCCAGAGTCCTGAAATTCTAGCCGTACAGCTAGCTAGCTAAGCAATAGCACGGCGTTAGCTACGACCTCCTCACTGAAAGTGTAGGTCGGAGCCAGTCAGTGAAACAAAATAAACACGACAAAAGATAATATGCAGTGTTGTTAATAGAGTCTCCGAAATCTGTTATCAGTAAAAGTGCTAAATGTGTCCCCCTTCTGTTTATGCTTTCTGCACTGCATCGATGGATAGCAGTGGTTACTACTGATCTTCTGTCCAAAATCCGCAATGGCGGCGGAAACGGCTAAGAGCCTTCTCAATCCGGAAGCATCTAGGGAGCTCTGGAAGGACACCGACTCTGAGCCATGTTTAGGATGGGTATGAGCAATTTTAAGTTTACCGATTTAAGCAAAATAATATTAATTGTCTGTGTTTCTACCCCCAACAGTTCCACATGCTGTAGTCTATTCTCCATAAAACTAAATCTTAATTCACCCATGTACGTCAGTTCCGTTACAAATTAGTAAACTACACTTTTTATTAAATCCGTGACATATTTTTAAAGCTTTAGTCCAACTATAAACAATTCAGGAACAATATACGTTTGCATAATGCATACAAGCAAACTGTCAAGTTTAGTAAAACCCTAACATAAAAATGTCTAACGTTATGGAGAAGATATCTAGCCTGTGCTAGATAGAAAGCTATAAATCATAGAATTCATGAACCACATAGCAAATATATGGCAAATGTTTTAGTTTCTATTAAAGCAAGAAAAAAAAACACTTATTTCACAGCATTTCTAAGCCAGGCTCTAATTCAAACGGCTCCAATTCAAATGTCTCTACTAAACAGATTAATTAATATTTCAGTGTAGGCAAGTTTGTACAATACAGCCTAGATACATCGTTCATAAAATTTCATTAATCTGAATTCAAAGAAATCTTACAACAGCATGCAAAAAAATGACTCAAGACAAAGTAATGCATTTCAAGAAGCAGCTGTATTCGACTATAAAGGCATTTCTAATCCAGTGTCTCTAAGCTGATTTCTTAATATTTCAGTGTAAAAAGCCTAAACTCTATTAGAAAAAAGAAACAGTAAACCCAAAATAACATTATAAGAAAACAATCATTGGAAAAAGAAAAGAAAAAAAAATCCCCATTCACCAGTCATTTTAATTAAAATAGAAACACAATTTCATTTGCTAACATTTTCCCTCAAAACAAATATATATTTTCTCATATATATATTTATATATTTATTCTCAAGGCAGTTGGTCATGGCCAAATTAATTGACCTCATCATGGCCATTTTTCATGTTTAAAGTTAGAAAACATAGCTAGAATGGAAGAAAATAACTAGCAGAAGCACAGTGTAGGACCACTGCACTGGCCAAAAAATATCTCATTTTGAGTGAGAGGGAATTGTCTGTCAAGGCAGTGTGGCACACAGACACACTTCCTCTGCAACAAGTGCAATGCAAAGAGAACACATTTCTCATGCATCAAAAAACTACAACACACTCCTCTTTCACAGCACTCAAGTTGTCCATTAGATTCCCTTTGCTTGTCTCCTCTTCCTCTAACTTCTCTATCTTGTAGCAGTGAAGGCTTGTGTTGTGTTGTGTAAGTTCTTAGCCATTGCTGGAAGCTGAAAGCCCACTTGCCGGAGAGACACTGCATTAGTCAGGGAGTTGGGGTCTCTGGTCCACCCTTGATTATTGTAGTTTTTCCACCTCCAGCTACCATTACAGACAACAACCTACTAGCAGATGTCTGAACAGAAGTATCTGTAGCGGTGTTTGAGGTTGATCAACTGTTCGCAAACTGAGAGAGAAAGAGGATCCCAGCATGCCAGCATCTTGCTATTACAGTAAAAATGTGACTAATACATTGTCCCTGAATACTGAAGACTGCTCTATCAGTAAATGGTGCATCTCATAGTAGAAGGGAGAAGACACAAGTAGCAGGGTTTCTGCAGAAAAGAGGGTTATGATGAGTACACATGATGACGAATTGGTAGAACAACTGTGCTTGTAGCTTTGTGCTCTGAATTGGTTCAGATGAACAGAACACAGAGGACACAAGGGGACGGGATGAATGAACAGGGGAGAGATTGGATAGATGGGATCACCGTTGAGTGATCCTCAAAAGTGCCGATGGCAATGTGAGGAGGTTCCCTGGGTTACATGAAGTGAATTTGCATGATGTACACACAAGCAAGTATGCTCACATGTGTTTTGTGTAAGAGAAAGAGAAAATGTGTAGGAGAAAAAGAAATCCCTGGGCTACATTGGAGGGCGCAGTGGAGGCGAGGTCCCAACGAGCCTCAACCGCCTCCATCTATCACATCCCTCTGTTACACCTGACACTCAGCAGAACTATGTGCTTCTCTTTTGCAGCTCCTGAATAAAGGCTGTGAAGGGGGAGAGGGAAAAATAAACATTAACTATCCGAAATACTGTATAATGAAGTATTTAATAACTATTAAACTTTTCATAATTTTTAGTCTCACCTCCAATTATTTCCTCCTTGACTTTTTGTAGTTCTTTCCGCACCTCCTCCAGGATCTCCTGCAAATATTGACAGATAAACAGACATGTCAGTCATGGTGACACACTGATTTAGAAAGTGCACACTGATTTAGAAAGTGCATTTACATGCACTTTAGTAGCCAGGTTACTGTAAATCAATGTACACAAGTAGTAGGTCTGTAATCAGATTTCTCACCTACCCCCAAAATATTTTGGAAGCATGTCTTTTATTATTTGAACTGTACTGTGAAAAAAGACATTGTGTCAGTCCTGACAAACGGACCTGTGTAGGCTAGTATGTGTTAGTTTTGAGTCGAGTTTTGAATAAAATAATTTTAAATACAAGGCTCTGTGTAATTATCTCTCCTTTCATCCAGTCTTTGTCATGCACATGTATACTTGTAAAAAGCCAATTAGATTTTTCTTTCACCTGTATACATGGCAGAGAAATTGCATTCTCCAGGAGAAATCTAGCCAAGCAAATCAGGTTTCCCTAATCCCCTATCCCAATTACAGGAACCAGGTTTCTCATTAACATGACATTTAAGAAATCACCTTGCTGGAGAGAGCCTACTCTATACCATTTACTTAAGTTCATGTAATCACACTCATTCAGGTTCAGCTCTTTTGGACAAGAATTTATGTTGCTGCTTACCTGTTTCATTTTCTCTAAATCCGAATCATCTCCCGCATCATTACTGTTGCCTGCAGGCTTTGCCCTGTCAGAAGAAAATAAACAGACAAATATTTTATGATTGTGTTTCACAAACAGCCAAGAAGGTCCATGGCACTGCATTGACAGGCCAACTGTCCATCGATCACATCACCGTTGTACCAGAGGGATGAAGGAATGTACGTACACCCAGAGATAACAAGAGGGTTAACCTCTCTAAGGCTCATTAACATACCTTTCTGAACTGATTTCAATCTTGAGGATGCCAATAATTATTAACACTGGTTTAAATTAAAATACATCTAGCTTGTGCTATTCTGAAAACATAATGTGATTTTGCCAACATATGTACTTGTTGGAATTTATCCACCTTTTAACCACTATAATAACATACACCACAGTATATAGACAAGACAAGCTAAGGCATTGGGTGCCCCTGTAGCTCACCTGGTAGAGTATCTGTACCATGTACTACGCATTTGTCTCTCTTCAGCTGTCCCTAGCTAATAAAAAAGGCAGACAGCCCTAAGCTAAGGCATCAAAGTCAGCTGTGAAATGTAACACAAGAGGACAGCATCGACCCTAGCACTAAAAAATAAAAATAAAAATAAAAATCATAGATTGCACTGTCGGGCTTCTATCATATTTTTCCATTTTCAGAGGTAACACACTCCGCTTGCACACCTACAAGTCCCTTGGGTGCATGATATTCTCTGATCCATTAGATGGTACTATCAACTGTAAATGTGCTACTCCAGTAGGTACATTGAAGTGATGCTGCCCTAACCTGAAGAGAAAAGCAAAGGGAACAAAGGTCATAAGTGAACAGGTCAGCATGTATACCTGGACCCTTGGGACAATGAGGAAGTGGAGTCCATGCTCTTGGGGATGGAGTTATTCCTGTTAGTGAGACACACACATACACAGCCTCCTCTTAGAATGGAAATGGAAGACATCCACACACAAAAGCACACACTTGTCCACAGGTATAACATACTAACATAGATGCACACATGCTCACACTACCGCACTCATACTGAGAGAACTACTCTTACAGTGAGTTTAACACCTGGGGGTTTACAGTTTACTGATGATGGCAGCCTGGAAATAAATGAATCCTGGAATACCTGGTCATTGCCGATTTTTCCCATGGTCTTCTCATGGTGTCTGTAAATAGTGGATAAAAACATGATTTGTTGACATTCATTTTGTATATTATGTAAAATTAATATCAGAATGAATGTAGGTGGAATGCTACAGATAAACATGTTCAGTTCTCACCGCTTTGACCTTGAGCATCGGATTCATCCTGTATAGAAAATAAACAGACTTTTGTTAAGAGTGACTCATCCTCAACTTGCTTCTGTAACTATCCATCATACAGTGTCAGGCCACATATAAAACACTTTTGTTTCATATTGTTTGCAGAATTAAAAATGTGACAAAATTAGACCCTTACATTATCTTGTGTCTTCACAGCTGGCTTCTCTCCAGTGTCTGCAGCTTTTCGCCTGAAGGAAAGAGGAATCCCTAAGTTATACCAGTTAGTTAAATACACAATGTATTTTCTTCAAAGGGTTCCACAGTATATACTGTATTTTAAATAAATGAGTATTAGTCATATTTAGAGAAAGGGCATAAATGAGGATGAAAACTTCTTCAGGGCTCGACAATAATGGTGGCCCGATGGCCCGGGGCCAGTAAAACCTAACGTCGGGAAAGTTGAACTAGCAACTCACTGCAAAAATATTGGTATTTTAAAAAAATAAATAAAATGAAACTCAACCTTGCAGTTGTTTTGCAGCTCTTGGCGCGCACCGATGTCCAATCCAGAGTTGTAGTTACGTGACGAGAGATTGTCAAATGTTATTTCTCTAATCTCAATCATGCGGCAACCTCGGGGTCAAAAGTGAAACCATACAGACGGAACTTAAAGCTGCATTCTCTCTAACGGCCAGCAGGGGGCGACTGCCATCAGAAATAATGGTAAAATGTTACTACTTCTCAGCTGATTTACTACCTCAGTAAACACTTAAATTAGTTTATAGTCTTAGTCGCTAGTTTCAAGTATTCGTCAACACAGCATGATGTTCATTTAGTATATTATGGTCCTAAATATAGGAAAATAGACAATAATGCAGCGTATGCTTTTGGACAGGACTAACTTGTGATTGACAGGTCGCTACCATGGCAACCTGTTCATCAGGATAGAGGAGACTTGTGTCTGCTGCTCTGTGTACATTTTTCATAAACAGTCTGTCAGCAGGAGAGCAAGTCTTGTTTGAGTCTGTTAGTAAGTTTTGTTTTCAAAGTAAATTGTTTTGTTAACCTTTTTATTTGTCATATTTTTAACTGTGATTACATTTTTGTTTATTTTATTTATTTATTTTTATATCCAGGATGTATTTAATAAACGATTAAACACTTTTGGAAGGAGGGACAGTAAAAGTTGTCTTCGAGCCAGTAAGTTTCGAACCCACTGGCCCGGTGGGGCCAGTTGCAAAAAAGTTAAACATTGAGCCCTGTATTTTATATAAAACAAGAAACAGAGTATTTGTTTAATTGAGTGTGGGCACTGTATAGGTTATTGGACTTCCATGTGTGATGTCACCCACCTTCGTGCCAAAATGGCACTCATTTCACCCATCAGACCACCCCCTCCTCCTCCTCCTCCTCCTCCTCCACCTCCTCCAATAGAGGAGGTGCTGACACGGTTGGGGTCAGCTCTGCCTATTGGAGCTGCAGGGACTGCGTCCTCCTGCTGAGGGCAGCAAAAAGCAAAAAGTTACAGAAGAGTTCAGCAGACACTGTGTGTGCATGATGACTCAATAACCACTGACAGAGATGTTCCTGCTTGCAGAGTGGTGATACCTGTATCCAAGATTGCATCAATACAACAGCAGAAAGATTTGCATAAATCAGGAAAGCACATAACGGATTCAATAGTAAGATTTACCTTGACTTTGGCAACAAAGTAACAGGATTATAAATATCCACTAATTTATAAAACAGAGTTTTATTAAGTACTCACCTTGGCTACCTTGCGTAGTTTAGCTCCTGCTAGGGCAGCCGCCAAGCCCCCTCCAAGTCCTCCACCATCACTGCCACCTCCTCCTCCTCCTCCTCCTGCAGCAGGCAGGGGTGGGGCCGGCGGAGGTCCTGAGGGAGGTGGCCCCGGTGGGGGAGGGATGGAAACAGCCGGAGGAGGACCAGGGGGTGGAGGAGGGGCAGGTGGAGGAGGGGGGCCTCCAGGGGCCAATGGTGGAGCTGGAGGAATAGGGACTAAAAAACAGAGGACGGACCATCCGTAACCACTCCCAAACTATTTAGCAATAACAATTGAGTTGGTCATTCACTTAAAAGTAAAACCCGAGACAGCAGACAATCTTGGGAAAAAGGTGGCGAAATCGTCATGAAATTACATTTTTTTTGACACTTTTTTTTCAGCATCACTAGGCTATTATTCCACAATCTGATCGGTCTCACAGTTAGAAAAATAAAGTCTGACACACATGTGTGACCAAGATTTTACTGGAGACCTCTCGCACAGTATGTAAAGGGCCTGAAAGATCCCTCTTATCATAGTGTGTAGGGGCCTTAAGAAATGGTGTTCACTGTGTTCACTTAAGAAATAAAATAAAAGACTGAAATATGAGGAAGTACTAAGACCGGACTGTATAGTAGTTTAGTGCAGTTATGTTGACCAGCCCAGGTGTTTCCTGACCTGCAGCAGCTTGTCTCTCTCTATCCAGTCTCTCTCTTTCCTGACGCTCCCGCTCCAGTCTCTCTCTCTCCTGTCGCTCCCGTTCCTGCTGCTCCAACCTCTGCTGCTCCAACCTACGCACAAATACATATGTAAACATGCTCAAAATAAATCAGTGGATGAACAGCACAGATACATGAACCTGAAAGTTATTATATCTCATTTAGGTGTTATGATTAGGCAAGCAAAAGGGGCATGATGGGTAATGCCAGCTTTATAGTCATCCCCAATTAATGTGTAAATGTCCCATGACTATTTATCAATAACAATTTATCAATTGTTTTTGAACAACTCTATCTAATTATAGTATTTGGCACAGGTGTGGAGAGCTATAATGAGGATCTATATTCACTATAGCGACTTTGGTAAAAGGATGATAGGCTAATCAAAAGCTATGAAATCCACCTACCACTGAAAAGTCCACAGCTGGACATGGTGGCCTAATTCGAACTGCCCCCTCCCCACTCCCCCAACACATCTGCCACTGACAACAGCTGTTTACAGAACAGCACACATACAATTAACACTAAAACTCACTCAAAAATGCATAGGTCCACACACACACGCCCACACAGTGACAGTTACTGTGATTTAAAGCACAGTTGGTCAACTTAGGCAGAGAGGGAGATGACGTCCATCTTTCTTTAAAGAACTATTTCCATACTGGTGAATATTGTGAATCCATGCTCATCAAACCTAAAAGCATCAATGCAAATAATATCCACCAACACCTGCATCTATGCTGGATTTCAAAGGTTTTAAAGGGCTCCCTAAGTCACAGTATATCAGCAGCCACTGGGACAGCTAGTAAACTTGACAGCCAATCACAAAGAATACCCAACATACTACCTTTTTAGGCTAAATGAGATTAAAAAAGATTAATGCCTAGTCTATGCAGGCGTACATGGTGTTACCACAACGGGTCTCGCTGCAGAAACAAATAGATGGAGAGGCGGTGGCAATGATTTGAGAGGTGTCTGCCTTGCTGTCTTTTTAACCTCTAACCTACAGGGGCTGACAGAGGGTTTAGCACTGTCAGGCTAATGCCATCAAATCCTCTACATATGCGTGCGTGCAAACTAGTGCCAACAGGACTACTAGAAAGCCAAGACAGCTTGACTTGCTATTGATTGTTATGCAACTAAACCCAGGGGATAGTTTGTTTCTGTTAGAAACAAACTTCACATGACCTCACAGAACAGCCAACATGTCTTAATGGTAAAACAACTTTTTTTTTAAATTACAAATACTGACAGTGCTCATCTCTGGTGCTGAATCCAGCCTCCAGTGTCATAAGAAACCTGGCAATTATGTCAGGGTTCCCAGACAGAAATACTACATTTTTTGGTGAATCAAGATCAGAGAACATCAAAGGGGATTCACAATAAAGTATGACTGGTTGTTTGTTAGATTGACAAAGAAAAATTAGGTTCCATCTAGAGGAAGTCTAAACAGGTACCTCCGCTGTTGTTCAAGCTCTTCTGGAGAAGGGCCATTTGACACTGGGCGGGGGAGGGTTGCATAGCCTGCCAAAAAGAGAAAACATTCTTAATATATATATGAAAATGATTACAGAATATGGGATAATGAATTGCTGTGAATGGTTTTATCTGCCCATGAACAATTTATGACTTTGTTTTTTGTGACTTCATATCCACACATGTATGTGCTTTTATTGGTGTACACACCATTTCTACCCATGCAGTCAAGTGTACAAAGTCTGAGGACAGTGTAGACAGCCATGATTTGAGGAACCAAAAAGGGTGCTGTACACCAATCATGGCATTTTATGATCTTGAATTGCACCTAGGTTTGCCACACTGTACCAGAGCTTGTACAGTACCACTATTTGTTCATGGATCAACAGATATACAAAGGATCAGATTTTATTTAAATAGCTAGCTGATGTAAACAAAGAGAAAGACTCAGGATAAAACAGATAAACTATGGAAAATTAAGAAAAAGCACTGTAACAACTGCTGGTAAAACATATACTATTAACACATTTTTGCACGATGAAAAATAGTGTTCATTTCACAGAAAACACTGAAATAACTTTCCAATGGCTGAGACATGGTTTATGGCAGAATAAACAGGAGACAATATACACAATAGTAAAGAGGGGAATGAGCCCCTACTCCTGTATATTACATTAGAAAATGATTGTTGTTTGATACCATGTGATCTGACCAAATTTAATTAAAGTTGCAGGGGAAAATGTAAAACCAAATGTTATGTTATCAGATGTTACTATGCAAAACATACCCAGAGCCAGGACAGACAAAGCATAGCACACAAGACAAAACAACACATTTTTTCGCATTTTTTCAGACCACTAATTTGGTTTTCTCATGTGAAAGAATCAGGTTTGCTCCTGAATTGGACGCACTTACCAGGAAATCCGTCATAAGTAAATGCCCAAACAATTCAACGTATCCTGTGTGAGCCCACCAATAACTGGGCTGTTTTTTAGATCTTTCTAGACCAAACTGTTCTGTCATCGTAATAATTTTCCAATCCTAGTGTTTTGTTTGTTAATAATTTGAAGAATTTGTTCATATCTATTCATCAGTTACCATAAAATTTCTTAATTTGGGAATAAGATCAGATCTGTAAGTAGAAAGGCTTTCATGAATAAGGCCCAATCAGTGGAAAGCAAACAGGAAAATCCATGAAGTAGCTACTGATAATGATGGAACAGGGAATCTAGAGAGAACTCAATTACCTGCATCTGCCATAGAGTTAAGCACCTCCAGAGCGTGAGCCATGCCATTGGCAAATAGAGTAGCATCCTCCTTGCTGCCAAAGTTGAGCCCCCACACCTGCCGGGCATCCCTCCACTGGTGGAAATTGGGTGTGGCCTGGTTATACTTGAGACCTCTCACAATTGGGCAGTTTATTACCACCTGGGGAAGAAAGAGGACAGATGAGCAACACAAGGATCATTTTAGTATAGAATGGTGAGCAAAATGAGTACTTGTTGTATATTCAAACACATGGAGACAACTCTAAAGATCAGATCAAAAAAACCATCAAATATTAAACCAATTCCTAACCACCTGGTCAGAAATTTAAAGTAAAAGGAAGGATTAAAGAAATATAGAGCAGCTTCTGAGAGCTGCTGGAAAAACTATTTTAAAAAACCAACAAACCCACATCCCTGCTTATGCTTAAAATTATAGTGTCAGCTTTATTTGTGTTGGATTATTCGAGTTTATATTCCACCCAGCAGGTGGCGTGAAGCCCATGAAACCAGGAGAGGAAAAAAACGTTCTGGGTTTGAATGTTGCCTGAATGTGCTGACGCGCCATTTCACTATTTGTTTAACAGCCTCTGGATTCCACAGAGTAGAGAGGAGGAGAGGAGACCCTGTCAGGGTGAATGTCACAGCAGGCAACATGCACTGAAAAAAAAGAGAGGAGCAAGTTCAGCAGCCACTGCAGATAGTGATATTCCTAAACTCTACACAATCTTTTGACCAGAAACACATTATAAATCTTAATAAAAGGATGAGCATTAATATATTTAAGTGAAAGAGAGAAGCATGTTCAAAAAACCTGAAAATAACCTTAATACCCCAGTTCCACTTGAGTTTTCAGTTTAGTTCAATCTTACAATCAGGCGGGGACGCATAAAGCAAATTGAAAAGACAAGCGTAAAAACAAGAGAACATAGAAGAAGGGAAAGAAATATAGCCATATTCTATCTCATTAGCTCCTCTGTGCTCCACTCAGCAACATACTAAACCAGGCTGCATCTGACACAAATATAGAGTCCTTATTGGGTATCAGGCTTCTCCCTAAATTGTCACAGGAAATGGTTGAACAGGCTAACTATCTCACAGGAAACATCATCCACTTTAAGAACTGTCTCTGGGGAACACTTTAGAGTCCTGAATGTTTAAAGAAGGAGAGAGACACTGAGGCAGTAGGGAGAGCAGGGGCATAGTCAAGAATAGACCCACCCAAACTCAGTTTACCCAACTTTATAACTTGGAATCTGCCCACCTTTATCTGGTGATGTCTGGTGAGTCATAATCTGGTGATAACAAGGAAACCTTCTTTGTTCTCCTTTTCTACCATGCCTGTAGCTTCTAGTGTTTGAAGGACTCCCAACCCTCCGTGACATGTGTGTGCATGCTTAAGACCACGGCAAATTCTTGCCTAATTGTGTGGCAAGCAATTTAACTAATATTATTTTAATATTTTCCAGTTTCTAACAATATAGGATATCCATCTTGACATCCATGTATACACAAAAGGATTTTTCTTTATAACAATCTAACCATCCTTTAATCAATTCTATTAGTTTTACACAAACCAGTACCAAATGTAATTAAACAGAATTGTCCTTTATATGTTCTCTCATTCCCTATTTACAAAATCACTGACAGTAGCTACTGCTACTGACAAGATAAACAAAGTGAACAAACGTGTCCTGTCAAGTTGAGAAATTTCAGCAAGGGAGGGAAAATAAATCTAGTGTGCGTTAGCCTCCCTCCCTCTTCTAAAATTTAGATTTATTATCAAATGAAATAAACCAATAGAGGTGATGCACTCTGCTGAAACAGTGAAATGATGATCTTGGGTGTAACTGACTGATTTTGATATTTAAGGATGTTAAAATCCAATATTCCTTTGTTCCTCTTCTTTTCAGAAACACATAACATAAGCAAAGATTATCCCTAACATTGATAGTGTAGTTATGTTATCTTGGTGAGGTCTCATGACATAGTGTAGTTTGAAAATAAACTTTTTTTATTGTTATAACTCAACAAAAGTACAACTCATTATGAAACGACAATACTCACAACATGATTGAAGGATCCGTCTCACTATTTCTTTAATTGTCATTTATCGGCTGTTATAAACACAAATACCACTAGAACTGCAAGCAGATATAAGCGGGGTCCAAGCCCCCCGCTACAAGCCGCGCCCATCGCCCCGTGGAGGGTGCGCGAGGCAACCCGGGTGCGCCGCTGTGGCTTCAGGGGCCCATGGTGAATAAATGACCAGAGTTTGAAATTAAAGGAACTTGTGGTTACCGAGATGTAAAATGAATGTATGTCTATGGGAGTGTTATGATATATGATTAATAATGCCAGCTAGAAACCGATTGATACCAAATTACATACAGCCACTTGGGAAGCCTTAGCAGAGGTATTTCAGCTTCGGTTATAGCGCCACATTCAGGCAGAATTGCACCAGATTTTTCAGGTGTCATCAGGGCCCCATGGGGAATGAATGACCCAAATTGGGTATCAAATCGGACATGTGGTTATGGAGATATAAAATGCATACAAGTCAATGGGATATTTTTTGATGTCTTTAATCTGCAATAACAGCGCCACCTATGGGCATATCAGGATCAACTTTGGTGACTGGAAAAAGTTGATCCTGAACAATTCGGCTCAAGTTTCATGTCAATGGGACTTGTGGTTATAGCGGAACAAATATATCCTGTTAAATAGCGCCACCTAGGGGCTAATTGCACCACATTTTGCACAGCCACTCAGCAAGCCAAGCCACATTAGTGCACAAAGTTTGGTGTTGATCAGCCATTCCAAACCTAAGATATCACATCACTTCCTGTTTTTAGGGGTCCAAGCCTGAGTGTAGCTGGGAACCCGCAAATGCAAGGCATCGTGGTTCCCAGTACCAGCGGAGCTGGAGCGTTTTTATTCTTCCAATTCTTTTTATTCTTCTTATTCTTCTGTACATTTTGGCCTAAAAGTGATACTGCGGCCTAGACGGTAAGTGCTAGAGACGCGAAACTCACAGGGTAGTGCTGCGTTCCATTTACCTCGGAAGTCGGAGGTCGGAGCTGGGAATGACGTCACACCCAAGTTGACGGCGTTCCAGTTAACAAGTCGGAAAACCTTGCTCGGCCAGCTGTTTGTTTACAACTAGCCAGGTTAGCTATTGATACGACGGTTGATTTAAAAAAAAAACAAACAAAAAAAAACACATTGTGCGGTATTTACTCATACTAAACACTGTAGCAACACGTCCACAGACAGCTGTTGGACAGCACTTTATGTACAAACATTTATATGAGTCACAAGTACACAGAAGTGCTAATAAATAGTATAAACTACAGCTTTCACTAACTGTTGATACCCCGACAGCCATTCTCCCGACTTCCCAAGTCGGAAATCCGACTTCAGTGGGCATTCCTGTTGAAAGTTCCAACTGGGAACTCGGAAATTTCGACTTCCCATGTCAAATGGAACGCACCATAGGTTCACACCTATCAGACGACGGCAGGTGCAAATATTTGCTCACTTCTACCTCTAGGGGGCGCTACAACTCCTCCGAAGGGTCATGTCCGATCGGCACCAAACTTGGCACAGACAAGCTGATAGGTTTGTAGAGGAAAAAAATGTCCCAATTATAAGCTAACAAATGTGAAAAACGCTAAAAACAGATAGATTTATCTGCAATTAGTTCATATCGGCCAAGCTCCATTCAATAGGTCACCATTTTTTTTGTAATACTGGAGCAAGCAGTACTTGTGATGTATTGCTGGTACACAGTCATGTGCATCAAAGTAAATGAAAAAGTCACAGAGCAATTGACAATAAGCCTTCTTAGGTATCTCCAATAAAACTATCACAGTATATAAAGTAGGGATGCACCAAATGTTCGGCCACCGAAATTAATTGGCCGATAATAGCAAAAAAAGCACTTTCGGTGTTTTCGGCCTAATACGTCAAAAGACCATCAAAACACTTACGGTGACGTGTCGGCATGGTGGAAGAATTTTAGTGTCCAAGAAAGACGCAAAAATAGCTGTTAGCAGACACTGTTCTGCTGAATTGTCTCCTAGCACATCCACTTCATCTGTGGCTGACTTCTTAGAAAAGGCAACAAACGGCCTGACCCGCTTTGAGTGTTTCTGTCACTCATTTATTGAGAAGACATTTAAGCTAGCCACACCTACATTTAGAGTGCACACTTATTTATGCCTTTATGATCACTGAAACGGACCAGAGCGAGCTGACAGGCAGGTTAACGACTTTATCCTGTCATTTTCTCTCTTTAACTTTAAAGACGAGTGTTGCAGTATGCAGTCCTACCTAAAGAGAGGCTATGAAGTCTTCATGTTACGCGATACAAGAACCACGTACAACATTATTTATCAAACTGGGTCGGGCATGACGAATTCAGCGCAAGGATACACACGTGACAACGTCTGGTTTTCAAAGTAACGTGTCTCTACAGTATGAAAATAAGATTAATTGGATTATTCACAAAAAATATAAAACATATTACATGTGTCCATTAAAAGTAAATGGACACATGTAATTTACCAGTTTACCTCTTGGGCCTCGGACCCACCCACCATAGTCTCTCCAAATCCTGTGGGAAACACTGAGTAAAAAGCACATTTTGACTATTTAATTTATGCAATGGTAAAAAAAAAAAAAAAGGCATAATTAATGGAATGGTACTTGTTTGGTATTCGGAATTTTTTTTTTAAATTATATTGAGCTTCGGCCAAGAATTTTCATTTTGGTGCATCCCTAAAGTAAATATTCTCTATAATCATCCAGCCTTCCTGTGTGGTATCAGATTAACAGTGTTATTGTGAAAAAAATAGACACATACAAAGACAGACTGTGTCAAACTTACTTGCTTACTCATTAACCCTTAGTCATCCACATGAGAGCACAGATGGCCACGGACCACATCACAGACAGAGATGAATGAGCTACATACAAACACGCACGTGCAAAACTACATACACTCACACTTGTAGAGGCAAAGTCACATAGTTACACATGTCCCAAACACACAAAGTTTGTCAGACACAAAGCGAGCCCAAAGCTGGGAGAAGTACCTGCTGGTCCGTCTGCATCTTGCGTCCCACTACCCTGAAGGCATTGTTGGTGGGGTTGTGGTAGATCTGGACTCTGCTAAAGGACTGGGGTCCAGTGCCTGCCGGCAGCCACTTCTTATTGCCATCATCATAGATCATCACAGTGGCCCGAGCCTGGCAAATACTCGACTCACTGGAAGACAGAGAGCAATTTTGTTATTCTTACAAAAAAAAAAAATGTACTGGCAACAAAGCTTCTCATTCTATGGAAAAAGGCTTTCCTTGTAGCCATAAAGAAAAGAAATAAGCTTTTGTGCAAAGCATGTACCCAAGAGCAGGAAGTACTGGAAACTGTAAAATGAAAGAAAAAAAAAAAATATATATATATATAGTAACAACAATGAACCATTTGTGGTAGTGATTGCACACCACTGACAAATGAATGAGTCACTTGACTCAAACTTGTTTGCCACTACAAAGATGTGGTATATTTTTTCTGGTGTTAGCCCTGAAGATGTATGGCGATTGATAGCCTTGAAGGGCAATGTCTTGAAGATCCTGACAAAGACTCCTATTTCTTATTTAGTTTGACTTGTGAGAGTGACAAGTACTTCAAACTCAGTTTTGGTGAATCCAATAATTGTACACTTAAGAACAAGTTTAAAATTGAGCTGAAAACAACAAGATATTACTATTGATTTATACAATTATACAATGTCTAATGACAAATTACATCGGCGGGGCGCCAGGCTTATCAATTTAATGTATGATGTGTTTTTTTTCTCTTTAATTTAGACTAAAGACTTTTGTTTAAACACAACTTAGATTATGGTATGTAGCGTGGACTGCAGCAGGAAGGGAAAAATGGGGGGGTTAGGACAAACTGGATAAACCGGATGGACAAACAGATCACAAACACGCAGTAGACTCCCCTATAAATAAACAATTTTAGAGATGAGATGTGGAGTGTTGCGGGTGGTGGAGTTTGTCAAGTTGTCAGTCACAAAGAGCTACACCACACTCTTGGGTCAGGAATCACAATTAGAGCTGAAACTACTGCTGTTTTTCAACAGCATCAACCAGCATACCATTTTCTTGATTGCTCTATTAAATGTCAGAATACATTTAAAAAGTCTTCAAAAATCATTTTGCCAGGCCAACAGTTTAAAACCCAAACAAATTCAATTTACAATGACATAAAACACAAAATCAGCAAAAACCTCACATTGGAGAAACTCACACTGATAAATCGATTAGCAAAACTGTTCCCCATTAAGTTTTGTGTTGATAGACTAATCAATTTAATCATTGCAGCTCTAATCACATTTGTGTAACTGAAGCGTTCAAAGAGTAGATCATACTTCCCACCTCTTGTTGACATATATATGAGATGGGAAGTGAAAGACTAAGAGAAGGAATACAGCCAAGTGTTGATTTGAGAGGAGAAAAAGAAATTAGTTTGATGCCAAACAAGATGGGAAGCGAGACAACAATAGGGGCTGACAAAGACAGGAAGTCGTGCCGCCAAAAAGACGAGGCTCTGGATTCTTCCACCTGCTCTACATCAACCTCCACCTGAACACACTTTGCGAGAAAACATGTGCTGTGAGTTCATTGACAAAACATTATTTATAGTTCCATGCAGGCAGAATACACACAAGTTACAACACATTCAGGAATGCCTGCATGCATGCAGGTTTAGGTAGCAGAGTCAGAGGCTGCAGTGTGCGCATTTTAGACACTGGGATCTAAAGATAAACAAAACGTTACCACAACAAAGGCCCATACATGTATAAGGGATGAACAAATTGGAACTAGTTCAAAATAATAACAGCAAGTATAGAACGTAGAGACACGCAGAGATGAAAAAATGTGGCCAACTGTCGATTATATGTTCTCCTCTCCTTATTTGCCCCCATGCTCTCCCCATAGTGCCCTAATCCATCTCTTCCACCTCTCCCCCTTTCCCTCCATCTGTCCCGCCCGTGATACAATCTGCTACTTCCTGTGACACAGCACCAAAGCCACAACCTACTTCCTGCTGACAACACTGCCTAATAAGGATAGCCTCCCTTAGCCTGAACAATCGATGCGCACGCGCACACACACATACACACACACACATAACTGGACATTATACCAACTGGAGAGAATAATGAGCAAAGAATTAGGATTTGACAAAGAATTAAGTGTTTGGGATGCTCCTCTCCAACCAGCAACTACTCAAAATTTTAGGCCTACAAATATCCCTATAAACTGTTCGAGTATCCCTGGTAGAAGCAGTGTGTACTTTTTAGCGTTAGCTGTAATCTGTCTGTTGTTTTTCACAACACATCAAATAACTGTGGGTTTGCTGTCAATCATAGAAAAGTGCATTATATAAACTTCAAACGCCTTCCCGTGATTGTGTTATCTGGCACACGTCTTATAATAATTATGTCCTGCACTAGACTTATATTTTGGCAACAAATCTGGCAGCAACAAACAAGTTCTATTTTAATCTCATTAGTTTTAAGTAATGCGCGTCTGCATTTTTAATGGTCAAAAAGCGCACATTCCTCTTACTTATATTTCAGTAGAGAGGCATGTAATGAGGAGGGATTTAACCTTGGACAATGTTTGGACAAGTTAGAAGTGCTGAGGGAGAAAGAACTTCTAGTATAAACAAAAATGTGTAAATACAGATAGTGGTGGGATTTGGGATCAAACTGAGGTTGGGATCAGCATAAGAAGTTATATTGTAATTTCTTGATTTTGTGTGCTGGGATGTGCCTAACAAAAAGGTCATACATTGGTTGGGCTGGAGTAGTGGCTGATTTTAGCTTATTATCATATCAGCTAATAAATAACAAGAAACTGCAGTAGAGAAATAGAAAAAGAGAAGAGAAAGTACAGAAATGGCAAAGATATGTTTGAGTCTGTTGTGCCATTTGAGTTTGTCTGCCAATTAGCACTGACATGCACTGACATGCACTGACATGCACTGACATGTAACATGTGCACTGCCAGTCAAGGCAGATGGCCGCCCACCCTGAGCCATGGTTCTGCTCGAGGTTTCTGCCTCTTAAAAGGAAGTTTTTCCTTGCCTCTGTTGCCTAGTGCTTGCTCTTGGTGGGAACTGTTGGGCTTCTGTAAATAGCATCATAGAGTACGGTCTAGACCTGCTCTTTTATGAAAATCGCTGTGAGATAACTGTTGTTGTGATCTGGCGCTATATAAATAAAATTGAATTGAAATTTAATTGAATGTCGAAAAATGTAGGGAAAAAATGTCCCACTTAGTACATACATTGGTCAAAATTATTTTTAAAAACTACTTTAAGAGTAAAAATTTTATGCATTGAGGCCGATCATATCATGTACAGTAGGATGCTTGTAACTCAAATATCTATGGGTATTAGCCTCAAAATCCAATATTGTCTGGGCTCCAATGACTCAATGTTGAGTGTATGCAATAATATGACATGGTCTGTCACAGTCTCTGGGGATGTATAGGCTATATCCCTGTGGGTTGTTACTGTAATATTTTGGATATGTGGTTTTAATATTTGAATTCAAATGAAAGGGAACAAAAGCCACACATAGGAAACTAATTCATCTAACTATTTTGACAACAGCATATAAAGAAACAAGGGACGCTCTAGAAATGGGGACAACGTTGACAGTGGCCTTAAATCCACCCTCACTGCCCATCGGTCACTTTGAGCAGGCTAAAACCACGTCGGGTTGGATGGATAAATACGGCAGCGTTCTCTGCCCTGCACATCAACAGCATGGTTGATGTAGATGAGATCAGAGTATGGGAACTGGGAGGGGACAGAGACATAGGACTGGGAAAGGTATGCATATTTAATGGAAGAGAAAGTGAGGGCTCAGGAGTGAGACTGAGAGTGAGCAGCTGCATTATTGATAAAACTATGGACACTGAGACTCTAAAAGCATGTGTGGCACACGCGCATGAAGACAGGGACTTGCACACACCCTTGCACCTGTCAACACGTGTGCCCAAGTGCTGACCCGGTCCACTCAGTACAGAAGGCTGCAGAAGAGTCACGGTTGGGTTTGACTGTACTGTGTTTTAGTACTGGAATAAACCATGACAGGCGCGGTCGTAAACAATCTATTCCTGTTCTTCCTCACACGACGACCACCAGTAGTAGTTGGCTGCAGAGCTAAGCTAACTAAGAGACGAGGTTTTCTACTAAGCACAAATAGGTCACTGGCTGATGCTCTGGGATGGATTTGAGTCACCAACCTTTAAAATACCTCCAGCAAAGGACTTACTTAATACAAAAGAGGGCTGCCTTGAGCACAGCAAATTATCACCAGGATGATATGCAAATTGCCCACCTGCATATAAAAACACTTAAAAAACAGAACTCAGTCTGTCTTCACTTGTCGTTATTACAGCCAGAGTCAGTTCCTCCCCCTTTCCGTGGTTTCTTGGTCAGTGATGGGTTAACAGGAAACCGCAGTGCACGGCCAGGGCACATGCTCAGTTGGAAATGTCTGTATAAGGCTGTGCTCTAAGAGCTTTTCCCCAATTGTGCTGGCAAGTACAGTCAGGCCCAGTGACACTTCCCTCCCCCTCCCCCTCCTCCTCCGTTTACCTGGCCCTCCCACCATACTCCTCTGCCACTCCCTACTTCCTTCACCGTTCTCTCTGAAGCAACTGATTTAACTATGTAACAAGATCAGTCGAGAGATGCCTTTTGGTGGCATTCATGCTGTATATTACAAAATACTGCCGTTTATGATATTTATCCATCCATCTATATCTATTTATATATCTATATATCTCTGTCTATCTCTATATATAGCATGGGGATAAGAAGACAGAAGTTAAAGTAGATGGGTACATCATCCTGTGTATCATGAAATAGTTTTACAAAACAAAATAGCATACATGACATACAGACATTAGTCCTGAGGCTGAGACAAGACACACTGAAGCTACACATTGTTGTCTAGACACTGCATAGAGTAATGCCATTTGTCTCTTCATCTATCCCTGGCTCACTGTTCCTCCTAATTCACTCAGGCTTCTTTCTCCTCCAGGAGTTCATAATGCCACTATATGAAAAGTCTTTTTTTCGCCCTCACAACTACTGCCAACTATCACTTTCTAATGATGTCCAGACTTTTTGAGTTATTCTTGCCTTCAGGAACACGCGTCTTTCTCTGTGGTCAACAG